GGAACTAAGCAAGGTCTTCGTAGCCTTCCACCGATCACGGTTCGCTTCATGGGTTCCAACATTAACGAGTCTCGTACTGTCAAAAACCTCGGTATCACGTTTGACCAGAGCCTCACGTTCATCGATCATGTGACTGATGTGGCGCGCCGGTGCACAGGTGTTCTGAGTGGGCTGAGTCACTGCCGGCACGCCCTTCCGAGAGAGACATTGACTACGCTGGTGCAGGCGCTGGTTATGTCTTCCGTACGCTACTGCATCAGTGTATACGGCGTGTGTGGCGCAATGCAACGGGCCCGGCTTCAGAAATTGATCAATTTTGGAGCTCGGTTGATATCGGGTCGGCGGAAATACGATCATATAAGTGATGTCATTAGGGAGCTGCAGTGGCTGTCGGCGGAGAACCTGTGGCGCTATCACTCACTGAGCATGTTGAAGCGTATGATGCACACAGGGCAGCCGGAGTCGCTGAGAAATAGAATTGTGACTCGTGGAAGCATTCACGGCCGTGATACAAGGCAGACGGACTCACTTGAAACACCGGCAATACGTACCGAGTCCGGGCGCCGCCGGTTCCTGTACTCGGCTGTATCGGAGTACAATGCCTTGCCCCAGGATCTCCGCGACCTGGGCCCTCGTCAGTTTAGTGCCCACTGCCGTAGCCATCTGCTGAGAGTGCAGAATGGTGAATAGTTGAACTTGCAATGTGTGATGTGTACTGTGCAGGGATGCGTGGGTTGTGGTATGGATGTTCGTATGTGCATTTTAGAACTTTCCCATCCGTCCGTGTTTTACTTTTTGGACTCGACGCCAAGAATAGCCATTATTTGTATATGGAGTGGTTTGTCATGAAGTCAATACAACCGTTCGCTAACCTTGGTTCCCATAATTTGAACTGCGGTAGAGCCTGAACTACCTCTTAAATGAACTTCACCGATTTTGTACGGCAGCTATCTGAAGTACGTGGAGGAGAAGTACAAGGAGTTCCTGAAGACCGAGGGCCAGGCGGACGCTCTGGCCAGCGTGGACGTCATCCAGGGGCTCGACATGTTCGTCCAGAAGGGTACGATCTCGCCGACTGGAGGATGCCATTCGTTTTGACTCGATTCACGAGGAATGCTGAGTTTTGAGGTGAACATGACTGCGCCAGGCGAAATGATGATGTTGACCGTAGTCCGGTTTTTAATCAATCACAACAGATGTAGCCTGTAAGTGTGCCTATCGGTGCTGTGACCCGGCCTGACCTGACCTCTGTGCGCGGCCAGGTCAGTGGCAGAAGTGCATTGAGACGGCCAAGCAGCACGGTCCTCAGGTGCTGCACAAGTACCTGGCCCTGTACGCCGCCCACCTCATCAAGGTTAGTCAGACGGTGATCGGGCGTTTAAAGACCGGGTGTTGGACGTAAACCCGTCCTTGAATATCTGCCACTGATGGTTCGTCCATCAAAACGCATCGATCAGCATGTGAAATGCCGCACGGCAGTGGAGAAGTGGCTTGCTCCGGTCGTCTCAAACCTGACCTCATGTCCTGTGTCTTACCCTGCTGACCTCTGTCCGGTGTCTTACCCTGCTGACCACTATCGTGTGCCTTACCGTGCAGCAGCCTGACCTATGTCCTGTGTCTTATCCTACTTCCCTCTGTCCGGTGTCTTACCCTGCAGACTGACGTCTGTCCGTGTCTTTCCCTGGCTGACCTTTGTCCTGTGTCTTACCCTGCAGGAGAACATGCCGGTGGACGCGCTGAAGCTGTACGTGAAGCACGGCGCGCCGGCCCAGTCGCAGAATTACAACATCTACAAGTACATCACGGTCAGCATGTTCGGCCAACACTCGCTGGCCAAGCCCGAGAGTTACAAGGTGTGGTCGGAGCTGCGAGAGTTCCTCTTCGATCTGGTGAGTATGGCGGAACAGACCGCCGGGCGAGCCGGCCAGCTAGGGAGCGGATAGTCATAGCGAAGACTGCAGCTGCAGACATTTGGCTGTAATTGTGTTTGCCTCAATTATTTTCTTCCTATCTAGATGTCGTTAAAACTTTGAAATTTCCCCTGCCTCTATCCAAGTCCAGCTTAGGTTGAAGTGTCTTTTCCATCCGTTAGTTGACCGAGGGTTCATCGGTCACGCACGCGACATTATCTGCACAGGTGGGCAACATGAACCACTCGGCGGAGGCGGGCTCGGCGGTGCACGAGGTGTTCCAGACGATGCTGTTCGTGGCCCACCTGCTGGCCGCCCGCTCGGCCGCCTACAGCGTCGACCAGCTCACCATGGTGGCCAGCAAGATCTCCGTGTCGCTGCTGCGCTACACCGAACTGGTGCCCGCCGACAAGGCCTTCTTCGAGGCGGGCGTCGACGCCAAGGTGGGTCGGCACGGCTCAGGCGCGGTGGCTGAATAAGCAGTGTGGCTATTCTCAGTTCCGTAGCCGAATTTTGTTTTTCGTGAGACGTACGTACATAAACGTTAATTATGCGGGATTTCAACTCGTAGATTTAGAATAATCTCCAACGATCAAGTTTATTCCATCGCTGTTTATTCAGAACGTTTTAAGCGAATCATGGTTCATTACTGTAGGTAGCTGGCCCATTAGCGCAGCGAGTTACCGGTATGTCTGGGTTGTCGGCGCTGTGCAGAAGGTGGGCTGGGACAACCTGGCGTTCGTGTGCTGGAACCACTTCCTGGACCTGGTGGAGGCCATCGAGGAGGGCTCGCTGGACACCATCGACCACAGCGACTTCGCCGACACGGACGTGCCGTTCGAGATCCCGCTGCCGCCGCGCGCCAACGTGGACGCCGCCGAGACGGAGCGCGCCAAGGAGTGGGTACTGGCCGTCAGCATGGACCAGTCGGTGGAGCAGGAGCTGCCGCGCGACGAGCGCGGCTGCTACGCCGCCTCGCTGCTCAACCCGGACGGCAGCCGAGCGCCGCCCTGCGTCGTCACCGGCTACCCCGTGCTCAAGAACAAAATGGAGTTCCAGTACGGCAAGGTGCGTATGAGATAGGAGCCTGGGTGCGTATACGATCTGCGGGTGAGAAGGCACACTGACTGCTGAACTCGCAGACTAGTGATGGTGTGGTGCGACTTGCTACCGTGTTTTCCACACTCCACCGTATTTTCTGAGACTATCGGAGTAATGCTTTATTCCAATTGGGCCGCCCCATAACGTTTACATTTTATTGAATAAAACCAGCAAAACGCCTTTTGGGCGAAGAACGAGCGAGCGAGATAGTGAGCCCTGCACGTGCGTAAGGGCGAGAGGGTACTTCCAACGGGCTTGTGCAAAGCACCCTTCTAACCGGTCGCTAGCGGTGTGCCAAATTTGAACGCAATCGGCCCAGCCGTTCCTGAGATCTGGAAGCGGCATCATGCACGTGCGCACGTGCAAACGCGGTCCAAAATGACTTTTGCACGGCACCCTACTAACCGGTCCCCGTGTGCCAAATTTGAGCGCAATCGGCCCAGCCGTTCTCGAGATCTGGAAACGCCCCCTGCACGTGCGCACGTGCAGTAGCACCCTAACCGCAACACATGGGAATGCATTGCTTGGTGGGTGCCTACCTGTATGCCAAGTTTCAGCGAAATCGCCCCAGTAATTACCGAGTTACTGAAATGGGAACAAATTTGGCACCTCTTCTTTTTGTATTTTGCACGTGCAGTGGGGGTCACTCACATAGATCAAGAGTATCCGACCTTTGGTAGAAGGGGTGCAGCTACCCTATACAAATTACCGCAAGACAATCCCTCAAGCCGCTGCTGAGATATGGGCCTCTCAAAATCACTACTTTTGCAAAACTGCTTGAACACCCTTGACTTTTCACGTGGCACGTGCCACGAGTCACTGAGATGTATCAGAAGTAGTCAATTACGGGGTAGAAGGGATGGGGCTACCCAGCAAAAAAAAAAAAAGACCGCAGGCCAAATTATCGGTCCAGCGGTTGCTGAGATATAAGCCTCTCAAAAGCGTTACAGGCCGGGCCGGGCCGCTCATACTGAGATTTTCCCGTTATATTGAAAAGACTTCGCTTCGCTCGCTGTGGTCGCCCGCTCGTAATGACTATATAGCTGCATTAACGGTGTAAAGATTATAATTCAACAAGCGTGACGCCGTGTTTCCGTCCGTCGCTATTCGACTGTATGTCTGTCCCTCCGCGCTCTCAGGTGGCCAACAAGGACGACTGGAACTCGCTGGTGATGACGGCCAAGATGACCAACAGCGTGGAGCTGACGGACGTGCTACGGTTCGTGGGCACGTGGGCGGGCACCGGGCAGCAGGGCTTCCGGCTCTGAGTGGCCCACCTCCGTCCCGGCCGGGCCCGATTCCGTCCCAGGTCGTACCCGGTGCCCGGCAGTCATGCCGACCGGTATAATCTGTGTTACACTATTCCGCCCATGTGGTGCCACACGGGCTGCGTCCAGTGTTATTTTTGCTCCGTTGATATCGGTAATCGCTTGTTATTTGTCCCCCTCTGTGCCCGTCTGCCTGTGCCGCTCCATATTTCACTCACTCACCCGTCCAAGGCGGCCGCGACAAGGCGAGTCGCGGCGCCGTTTTACCCAGCGGCCCAGTCTTCGATGACTGCAATACCGCTGTGTACGCTCATTACTCCGGGATCGGGCAGCATTCGATGCCAGGCTTAGCCCGAGGCTGCCGACCGCCATTGTCCACGCATATCTGTCGGTAGCCTGTGTTTTTCTGCAGCCGGCAGTTGTAACGAGTCCGTCCACTCAATACCTGAAAGCATCGCGGTGATAAATCGCAGCAATGCACTGTATGTGTAATACTTACGATAATAAAGTGTGCAATATAAACCGGATCAGTGTCTGGTTGCGATGACGGCCGGTAAGGATGCGAATATGCGACAGTGTGAAAGCGAAGGTTGATGATAGTAATGAGATATCAGATATCGACGTTGCAGCCCAGTTTTCGCCTCGGTACGTGAATTCGGTACCCGTAATGCGGAGCATGAGGCCCCTACCGGAAGACATACTTACGTGAAGATATATGGGACAGCGAGGGGTCAGTAGCATTTCCACTCAATCACTGGTTCAATGGCCCGAGGGTGTTTGACAATTTGGACGTGATGTAAGCCACATCACTCGTCGGTTTACGGCGCTGTAGTCTTTACCTTCATCTGGCGATAGTATAACTTTTGAAGCCGAAAATAGCACTTTCGAGTAATCTCCAATATACAATCATGTGCTGTAAAAATATGCATTGTGACATTTTGAGGCACGTTCAACCTCAAAACACTAAGGTTAAAATTAAACATGGCTAGTGTCTCTCCCAGACTACTAAAAAGAACGAGCTAACCAAATCCGCATAAATGACGCTGGTTGACGCTTCACTGTCATTTGAAACAAGGTTCCACATGGGTAAGCCCAGCCAACTTCGCTCTCCATACTCACTGATGTAAGCGCATGGAATGCCCAACGTATGTGCAGAACAACATCACCGCTGGTTTGCCAAGGAGCTGGCCTGCCCTTCCAAACAAAATTATTTCCCTATGAAAATTGTTCACAAGCGGCACCGCTAAACATCCGCCGTACGACACCACCTAAGGACTTCCCTGTTACGCGGCTGGCTCTCTGACTATGCTTAGCAGCTTCTCAATCTTCTCCTGCTCTATCTCGAAGAGCCGCTTGGCGTCAGCATTCTTGGCCTCCTTGGGCTTTTTGCGCAGGTTAGGTGATAGTTTGAGCGAGGTGACGTTCCCACGTTCGTCTCCGACCAGGACGATTGGGTGTGCCAGACTGAACGAGACCCGCGTCATGCGCGTTTTCTTCATGTCGATGACGGCCTGGCAGCAGATAGGACGGTACTTGTCGATATCCAGGTCGAAGATGTGGATGCGGCCGTCTATGGTGGAGGCGGCGAACACGGTGGACGAGTAGGGCGCCCAGGCCACGTCGCCCACCGGCGCTGCCAGGTCGAACACGAATAGTGGCGAGCTCACATCCTGCTGCCAGATCTTCACGGTCCAGTCGGCACTGCACGTGGCGAAGATGCCTGTGTGGTAGAAGTTCCAGCTGATGCTGTAGATGCTCTGCATGTGGGCAGAAAAGGCTGACAGGAAGCTGGACGAGTAGGTGGTGGAGCACCTGTAGACATTGCCCTCCTCGGTGCCCACCAGGAAGACGGACGGGTCGGTGCGGTGGAAGGCGAATGTGGAGCCGCAGCCGCGCACCGGGATCACGGTGCCGTCGGGACCCTCGTTCTTCACCTCCGGCATGCCCAGCGAGGTGACCTCGGTCAGACGCAGCTCCGACTGGACCAGCTGCCAGTTGATGACGCGTCCGTCGGCCGATACCGAATAAAAGTTGTGGTTGCCGTCCATGTTATCCGGTCCCCAGCGCACCTTGTTGACGCTGTCCGCGTGCCGGCCCTTGACGGTCTTGCTGAGACAGACGGGCTCCCGTCCCTGTGTCTGGAGACTCAGCACGCTCACAGTGCCGTTGTACATGCCGATACAGACCAGGTGCGGGTACGTTTGGTGGATGTCCACGCACATAACACCGGAACTGGTCGACAGGTGGTACTCCGGGTACGTCGGGTTCTTCAGGCTGTACAAGCACACCTGGCCATAACTCTGACCCAGAAAATTGTATGATCCAAACGTAGCAGCGAACAAATCGCTATACGTTTCACTCCAACATATGTCCGTCACGGCCAGCTTTTTGACTGGATCAAAACTGAACCGCCAGAGGGGGAGAACTGTGCCTTCTTTCTCCTTGAACTCGTCCGATGCATCTTCATAGTACTTGAAGTCTTGAGCTATCTCGTCATATGTGTTCTGGTTCACGATGCGCTCCACCGTCCGACTTTGCCTACTGACTTTAATTATCTCTTGTTCATCCTTGCGCTCGAGGCTGACGTGAACCGGCTTGGGTGCCGGAGGTTTCGGGTGTGCCTTACCCTGCGCCTGGAGCTTTTCCTGCTGTTGCTGCTCGAAGTTCGACTGGTATGTGTCATAAATGCTCCACGCATTCACGTTTGATGACAGTGTCGATCTCGGCGGAGGCTGTGTCTCTACAGCAGCTTCCTTCAACATTTGGTTCATTGTTTGAGATGCACGCTCACAGAAATTAAATGCGTTTGGGAGCTTCTTTTTTGGTGGTCCAGGCATGCCCTCAGCATTGTCAGCTCCATCTTCTGCAGGCTTTTCAGCCTCACCAGCTTCTTCACTCTGGTCTACATTTACTGCTTCAGCATCATCTGAAGTTGCTTTAGGTTCGCCGGCCCCTTGAATTTCGCCATCCCCTTCACGGGATTCATCATTGGCATTTTGTTCATCCGCACCGTCTTCATTGGCCCCGCCGGGCGGTGGTGCATTAGCTGCATCCATCCTAATTTGGTACTGAGCCTCAGGGCTGTTGACGTCCAGTAGATAGCCTTTTTGGGTGAACAATATGAGAGTTCCCTCGTCGCATGGCTTTGAGACGAATTTTAGCGCATTGTTGCTGAATTGCACTTGGTTCTTGGGTGCCTGAGGATTTACTGCAGTCAGAACTCGCGTAAACTCTTCCTTCAGTTCTTCTGGGGTGAGCTGAAGCTGATTTGCCGGTTTGATTGTTGTTTTAGATTTGCCACCAAATTCGTTGATCTGCGAAGGCGCAGCCATCGATGATCTGCGACCTCTCGCATCCGGATTTGTGTTCGGGTCCATTATGCCGACTCTTGACTGCTTCATGTTTATCGGTTCACGGGAAAACGACGACTTACAATTTATATGTTCGATTTTGACCTCTCCGACCAAATTTATTTTAAGAATGACCCTAACGTACACACTTCCTACCCCTTTCAAACATCACCGCAACAGAATCAGTGCTGCCAGATGGAGAAGGCTGTAATCCTCCAGATCAGTTACAAAAATCCTCCAGATTCCTCCAAATCCCATTGGCGGATCCAGATAGGCGGTCTTGGACGCTGCGGGAGGGCATATCTCCGAAAAGGTTTCTCCAAATTCTAAAAACTCATCGGATTTCGATTCCTTTCGCACTGCTGTGTAGTTTAAAAGATGCTTTTTTATAATAAAAGTTGTTTAGTTTTCGTTTTATCCTTGAAAAAAAAAACGAAAATTTTCTTCGATTTTGGACGCTGCAGGAGGGGGGGGGGGGAATTTGCGCCAAATATCCCCCTTTGATCCGCCAGTAGTTCGGTACCTTCAAAAACATATGGTACAATCGTACACGAAATAGGAACAAATAGTCACCATGATATTCGTGGATATAGCTACAGACTGCGACATTCCAGTCTCACGGTGATAAAGGGCAGTGATATATCCTAACGGGTAGGGTGAAGCTGGGCAGGAAAATGTCTTTTGAGTCTTGAACGCGTTGTATTTTTCCATGAAATTGAATATATTAATCGGGTGACAAATCCTCCAGATTTTCCTCCAGAATCAAAAATCCTCCAAACGCGAAATTTGTCCGCAAATAGAGTTCAAAATCCTCCAGATTTGCGGAAATCCTCCAAATCTGGCAGCACTGAACAGAATGACAAATTTGCATCACTTGTAAATGCAGACATCAGCTGATGAGCGGAATTTAGTTGTCATGGAAACAAGCTACCAGATCTATGCCCGTAGGAAAAATTATTTTTCACTGAGTAAAAGTATTTTATTGTATTTTATTTTATTGTATTTTATTACCAGTGTTTGAAAACGAACTGTGAAAAAGTGGATGAATTATTTCAATCATGCCTGAAAAATGATCTTTATTAACTGGAAGACTTATAGAATAGAGTGTTTTCACTATTTTTATTCAAATACTTTCCCCTTTCATAAATTCCAAGAACCGGCTTTTGAATACATTACTGACGCAGCTAAGCCATTTAGTGACGCTTTATTCTCGAGCGTTTGTATTTTTGTTATTTATGATGTTTACATATCTCTCGGGTGGTCGTGGTCTTTTTTTCCTGTAATTTTTCATTATTTTCTTCATGAGTTTTTGTATACCTTGATTTCGTTCTATCCATCGCATCCGGCATTTTTTTATCGGCATTTTTTGCCCTGAAGCAAGTTAAAATGCTTCATAAAGAAGCTATCCCAGCATGGCCATTTGCTATCATGAAATCTCACCCATGGCTATGGAAACTTAGAAAAAGCTGCATTGTTCCACCTGTTGGAGTACTGTCAAAAATATTTTTTGGTAAGTGCCCCTAGATGTTGCCTTGGTAAGGATGTAAGTAAATACAACTTGATAGGAAAATGTGCTCTTCTTTCCTTGTTATGTTTCTTATTTGCTCCCTTCTTGTCAGAGGTGGAGATGTCGGGGGATCGGGGAGGGGGTCAGGACCCCCCCCCCTGAAAACAAATTACTGCTTTGTAAGTCAATGGTACTGCATCCAGCCTGCCTCCATCTGCCTGGCCTGGATCCCCGTGACATTTTGACAGATCTCCACCCCTGCTTCTTGTTCAACCCCTCAGCTGCTGCTTGTTTGCTATAATGCAAATAGCCTATGTGGTTAGAGCCAAAGGTCACAAATTTGATGTTGACTTTATGTGCAAATTACATGAAAATTCCAATTGACCACTTAGGCTAACAGCTATTAGTGAAAAACTGCACATAGTTCAGCCTTTTTCCAAAAAGTGCTTAATTTTCAATATGTTGCACGCCATACTTGGTAGATTTTATGAGATATGTGGATGCAGATATTAATTTTTATGAATGCTTGCCTTATATTTTCAGAATACTTAAGCCGAAGCCAGGTATTTAACCGAGAGGCACTTTTGGAACTGGTAGGAAACAGAGCTGATGGCCAGGGCCTGGTCACTGTCTCCAATCACTACTCATGCCTGGATGAGCCTGTTCTGAATGGTGAGCTGTCACTCTATACCTGACCAAGTAACATGTGTCATATGTGGATTTACTCTTGTTTTGCACAGTGTGGTTTGGCAGAAATAACTAGACAAATTTTGTTGCAGCATATCTTTGTCCATTGCACTTCTTGTGGACTTTTTCATTGGGTGTGACCAGGGGGGTACGCTCCGGCTGTTTAGCATTACGAAAAATGGTGACAGACGTTTGTGGAGGATTGTCGACGAACTCTTGTTCCGCGAGCAGTACTTACACGCTAGCGGAAAATTCACCAATCAGCGCTCGGCAGTACTCGACGCTGATTGGTCCGACGCTCGTGACGAAATTGCGGGGGACCGCAGTTATTCTCTATGGACCCGAATAGGCTTTTGGATTTCGGAGGAGTTTCTTTAAAATTATATGCTGTTTGGAGCTGTTTTCGAGTTGAAATATATTTCTTATGACCGTTAGCTATATAATGACACCATAAAATCATGATTTTAATAAATATTACCGATGTAATATCGGCCGAAAAGACATGCTGTCATGGCACGGACTGCCCTGCGGCTGATGTGGGGCCCCTAGTGCCAGCGTATGGTAATAATGGGTTGACGAAGGGTTATTGGAGAAACTTAGAGCCCCTTTAGCATTCAGTATAGGGTCATCAGAGGCCGGGAATGTCCATCAGGGGTCTGAGTAGGCCTGTCATAGGGGCATACATGACACATCATGGCCCATGGGTCAATGTAGATCCATTAGGGGCCGTTGAAGGGCCATCATTGTTCAGCGTGGGCTCGCAATTACCTCTGATGGGCATATGCCGTGCCCCGATGGACTAACGCTGGCCCCTGATGAACCATCACCAGCCCCTGATAGGTCTACAAAGCCCTCTGCTGGGTCCAAATTGGTCACTGATATGCCCAAATGGGCCACTGAGATACCCGTACAACATCGGGCACATCCCCTGACTGCACCTGCTGGACCAATGCCGTCCCCTCATGGGCCCACCACAGCTCTTGAATGACCTTTTCAAGTCCCCTGAAGTGCCTTTATTGGCCTAAATGGCCCCTGATTGACTGATGTGGTCCCTATTGGTCCTATATGGCCCCCATGAGCCCTCAACGTCGGCCTAGACAGCCTTACATTATATGCCACTGGGCCCTGTTGGGTCAGCACCGGCCCCCGATAGGCTTGCACACTGGACCCACCGGGCCTATACCGACCCATGAAGGGTCTATGTCGAACCCTCACGGACCTCCGATGACCACACGCCGACATGTGTGGCCCCATCAGCAGTGGTCCGTCTATCCCATGTACTTACGGTCTTTTTGGCCGATGTGACACCGGTAGTATATAGAATGTCATGATTAAATGTCGTTATTACACAGTCAAAAGTCACAGAAAGAATATCCAAGCTCAAAAATGGCCTCAAACCCAACAAAAACTGGTATAAATCCCCTTCAAAAGCCGTAAGTCTATTAAACGCCATAGGGGAATAGCTACAGTCCCCCGCAATTTCGTCACGAGCATCGGGCCAATCAGCGTCGAGTATTGCCGAACGCCGATTGGTCGATTTCCGCTAGCCTGTAAATGCTGCTTGCGGATATAGTTTTGAACAAGTGAGGGTCGCGGCTACTAATTATCGCTTGTCACCACTTTTTCGTCGGGAACGTTCTACCTGGTTTATATAGCCTTGGGTGTGACTAAGGCTTTGAAATGCTAGATTAAGTTAGGCTAGGTCAGCTTTGGTTATGTCTTTATTCAATTTTTTCTGTTTTATTAAACAGCTATACAAATATTTGTAATAGAATCATTATGCAGGTGATGAGGTGACTTATGAAGACAGTGTAGTTTAGTGTAGATACCAAAACACTTCAATGAATTAAAATGGATCTCCTTGAATTCACCCAAGATGTGAAGCTCTCTTTAAAATTTGTCAAGTAAACACGGCCTTTCTTTCCCACCTGTTTTCTATGCTCTCACCTCTGGTCTTGGTCAGGAATGCTGAACTGGAGACACCTACTGAGTCCTGATGTGATGCGGTGGTCGCCGGCGGCGCACGACATCTGCTTTACTCGTCCGTTCCATTGCTGGTTCTTCACATCAGGAAAATGTGTTCCTATTGTTCGCGGAGAAGGTGTTTATCAGGTATGTTTCACTAAAGTAAACTAGCTGCTCTAGAACATGATATGTGAGACAAGTAGTGAGATGTTAGTCATAAATGACAAAGGTATTATTTTTACCTTTGGCCGTTCTCAGCTTTCGAGTAACATTTTTTTTTTTTAATTTAGCTCGAGCCTCGAATGTTTGAATGGACGGATTGACAGAGCCGAAGCCTACGCAAAGCAGAGCTTGTTGCGTAGACCCCGACCCCTACCGTCCGATCGCGCAATTCCGGGTAACAGGAGAATTTCGATGCCAAAGTTTTACCCGCGCCCCGCTGGGCTATTCAGCCATACGCAGATTCTGCCCCCCCCCCCTGTCTAACTTCCGAACCGATGGTCGTTGAAAGACGGGGGAAACGGCAATCGAAAGCTCTCAACGAGGCGGATCTTAAGAGCCCAAATTTTTTGCTTAAATAGGTCAGAGGTCAGGTCAAGGTCAGGTCAAGGGTACAAAATGCAAGTTTCTACAGTATCGGACTTGCACCGTAGTTACCGAAGAATGGACGGAGACTGATTGCCCAAAACGTGTTCTTAGGCTACCATGACAATATTCGTTGCTTACAATATCGTTCAAAGGTCAAGGTCAGGTCAGGTCACCAAAAACAAAATATAGAAAAGGGCATGTGCGACACATGTTTTATGGGTCAATTTATTCATAGAATTCAATAGGCACACTCAATTAGTGATAAGGACCACCACTGGATGAATTTCAGGTCGAGGTCAGGTCAAGGTCAGGTCAAGTGAGGTCAAATTTTGAAGTTGATTTTTTAGGCCTAAAAAGGTGTTTATCTGATGCAGTTTTTCACGGCGAATCGAATGATGCTATTTTTGTTTCCGTACGAGGTCTAGAACTTTCAAAAAAATCATTAAAAATGTGTGTCGTGACGTCACAAAATTTTGAATAACTCCCACATTTGTTAACAGATTCTTCTAAAAATTGGTATGTAGGTGCACATAGACCATTTCTCTGACATATATTCCGGTTTTTTCGATACACTCAAACTTTTGGATTTTAAAAGGTTTTTGAGAAAAAAAATTTGGGCCAAAATCCAAAATTTTCAAAAAACCGAGATAGCCATTTGATAGACAAAGTAGAATCACGTAACCTTTTTTTACGTCTTGATTACTTTAAAAATGAAGATGTTAGCGGCGTTTGAAATTTTGCCGTTTTTGAGGCGAAAATGGCGAACATGACGTCACTAAAACGTCATTTTCTCAAAAAAAAAATCTCGACGGATTTCGCTCAAATTTTCAGGGAACGTGTCAAATTGATGTATGATAAGGTACTGAAAGTTTGACGTCGCTGGCGTAACGCGTCGCGTTTAGAAGTTATTGGTGAAAAACGGGAGGGGGCAGATTCTGCCCCCCCCCCCCAGCGGGGCGCGGGTTAACGTGCCCTTCAAAGCCGGACACGGCCTACCCCACTCAACTGACTTCAACTGGCTGCGGCTGCTCCCACCAACCGCAGACCATCCCCGTCAGGAGCTTCAAATATCGAGCGCCGGAGCGACTCGAACCCGGGGCTCTCACTACCGGAAGTCCAGCGCTCTACCAACTGAGCTATGGGACAGGGAAACATACGTTAGGTAGAAGAAAAATGTCACTTTTGGTTCACGATGTAGCTATCTGCTTTAAGTAGTAAAGCGCAAATGCGAGTTGAAACTGAGACTGCTACGAATCAACTTGATCAATGGCAGTTACTTCTAGCAACAGCACATTGCGCCATTAATCAGGGATCGATCGGAATTCGAGGGGAAAGAATGCGTTCGCCGTTCGGTAGTACTGTCGGCGCCGCTAGTACGTCGATCGGACGGCATTGTGACTGAAATACAAATACCGTCTCCGTGACCCTGTGTGCACCGCTCTGTGTGTCGGCAGCGCGCCATGAACTTCCTGGTGGAGCGGCTGCGGCGCGGCGACTGGGTGCACCTATTCCCGGAGGGGCGCGTCAATACCGAACACGAGCACCTGCGGCTCAAGTGGGGCGTGGGCCGACTGGTGGCCGAGCCGGAGCGCACGCCCACCGTGCTGCCCTACTGGCACCTGGGCATGGACGCGGCGCTGCCCAACCGGCCGCCGTACGTGCCGCGGCCCGGACAGACCATCACCGTGCTGGTCGGCCGGCCGCTGACGCTGGCGGCAGAGGTGGCGCGGCTGCGGCGGCGCGGCGCCTCCAGCCGAGAGGCGCGCCGCACCGTCACCGAGCGCGTGCAGGACGAGCTGGAGCGGCTGCGCAGCCGGGCCGAGCAGCTGCACGCCGCCCGTCTGGCCAGCTGACGGCCGACACCCGGTGGGTGGTATAGGCGCGGTCAAACGGACACGCACAGTGCAAATTCAGACTCCCTCCCCGAATCGCAGTGTAATAGACATTTGTCGCGCGCTGAGCGATACCAGTCAACTAGAAACTACAACTCAAGACAAGTTGGAGCTACAATGCAAGTAGGTCTGTGCCAGTAGTCTTATTTTAATATTAAAGTTTAGAATAGTTGTGTGCTACTCTCATCTGAGCTACAGGATCACAGGTGATTACATGATTCCGGTTGCAGATACCAGGTAGATTTTTTTACAAGCATCGCGGTACTGTTCATGCCGTATTGAAAAGGTGAGTTAACATTGTAAGCTGCAATAGATGGCATGATCTTGTCTTGTATTACACTGTTTAAACATATTAAGTCGGAAATGAATGGAATGATCAATGGCAGAATTCACGCGATATTTCGAAAAGAATGTAGGTATGGGTTCTTACGGACATGACAAGACGGGAGGCGGAGCATGAGGAAATTTACCGTGTCCAAAGCTATTTTGCGAGCAAGACATGTCATTTAACCATTCACAGCATTATTGGCAACTTTCTCTAATCTCTGTCAAGGAAGTTGTTAACTCTTCAATACGAATTTCGAGTTTCCGCAGCAAGTAATGTGATCGTACGCCGAAAATGGGGAAATGGTCCATCGATCCATCATGAAGTGTGAACTTTGCAAGCAAGTTCCATCCGAACCTATGGGTGGTTATATAGTGAGGATTACCTTTGTTGTAGGCTCTGGTCTGGTCTGTGCTTTTCGAAAGTCGCGCCGCCGAGCCGTTACCCGACATATCATTCCAGATTAATTTGTCAAGTTATATGTTACCTATCTTCCCTTTCTGCACACGATTCAGGTTCAGACGCAAGAGATCTGTTTGGAACTTGCTGTCTTGCCAAAGTCTTGCCTACCTAAGCCCAAATAGTTGCTGCTCTGATAGTGGAGAAAGCAGCTGGTTCTGTCGGTGAGACGCTCGCATTTTTATTTGCTAGTCAATATTTGTTGTGTAAGTGGCGCAGCCGAGACAAAATAAGCTGGTGAACTTTGTAATAGGGTAACAGCAAGACAGTAATAGCCAAGGCCCTATATACCGTAATAGCCCATTTTTCAAGTAGGGCAACTGAGCTGTTCTGCGGGTTCAATAACAAAAATTCAAAAAATCAGGTGAGATCCCCTGCCATATAATCTGCAGTGAAGTTATTTTCAGTGGGTTGTGACAAGGCAGTATATACCAGTTGTGAAATGTGAAGACTTGCACTGACATGCTCAGGTGGGTTTGGCCGGATCTCTGTTTCTCTGCCTTTTTGTAAATATTTGTATTTTTGTAAATGAATTGAAATTGTAGAAACCACAAATGCACCGGTTTGTGATGTGACTTTCCATTTTTTCACTTTTTAGTCCCACTTTGCCCAGTTGAGTCGGCTGCCCCTGGGCCAGGGCCCTTCACTCATTGACAGATAAACAAGAAAGCTGATTTTGAATCATTTTTTAGCATTATCTGTCATTTGCATGTCATCTGTTATTCTGTGCTTTCTGTAATTTTTCACATTTCTCCAGTAATTTTCTGCATTTCTTCATTTAAATACTTGAGTGAGGTTCTTGTCAGGCTATCTCAGTTGGGCAAACTAGACCTTTGGAATCAAAATATGGAGGCATCAAAAGATTGATTCTTTTTGGGCATAAATGCAGACCATTTCTAACTTACCAATCACATAAAAATAAGAGAGTGTTTCAAGAAGGAGCATGCCTGATCTTGAACAGAAATGCTTGAACTATCTCCTAAGCAAAATAATATTGCTCCTATCAAAACAACTTAAATTCTATAGGTAGTGAAAGGCAATCAAGGAATTGATTCACTTTAAACAGATAATCATAATATTGATTCCCCATCAGCTGGCTAATCATTATTTTGATTCACAGGTAATGTTAACAGATAGGCAACAATGACTTGCAAGAATACAGCATTTATCTTGCTAGTATTCTCATTTAGTGGTATCCTCAGCACCACAACTGATACCCATAGCATTGTTGTACTTTACCTTCACTACATTTGATAACAATTCACAATTTTTAAATGTCAAGAATACAAAAACTGAAGCAACAGGTAAAAACCATATAAATGATAAAAAAGCACTACAACAATGATAATTAGGTGTTTAAAAATTTCATTTTGCCATTTTACACAAATACTGATTGGTTAGTATTTGATTCATGATACAAAAATAGCATACAGTGTGATTCCCTCAAAACAGCTTTTACGTGATGGACAGTGGCTCTGTCTTTTTCCCATTCACAAGGCCAAAGGGACAATTTCTTAGCTTTGAGGTAACACTTTTTGCAAACCTACCACATTTTTCAACCTTTTAAAAGAAAAATCTCACCGTCATGGGCCTTTTTTCAACCGTAACGATTCATTTGAAGTCAAAAGTGTACCCAAATGAATCAAAAAATTGATTCCATGCCCATATTTGGTCATGGCTCCTCCCACCAGAATCAAATTATTGATGCCTCCATATTTTGATTCCAAAAGTCTAGTTTGCCCAACTGATCTGTAAGAATCATGGTCAGGCTTTGTTTCTGTTTGTAACTTATCTTTTGAACTCAGTCTTTACCCATATTGATGTGGTACCTATTAGGGTGTCTCGAAAAATAAAGTTGACATGCCTATAGCCCAAAACATTTGCAATCGAGTCTGCTGGTTTCGAAAATCGCAATTAGAAAATTATGAGCCATTGTCTTCAACAAGCGCAGTCGCGATTTCCAAAAGCTTGCACCTACTTTTCGGGCGTTGCAGTCTCCATTGGTTTTGCTTGGTGTTAGTGGCAGTAATAATACGGTGGTTTTCACGAAAGTCTCAGGCAGAGTTCGTGGGTGAAGAGTTTAAGCGTAGATTCAGGTCAGTAGTTAATTGACTTTATTTAGTGTAGACGTTGTCGATACACTTTTTAAAGTCACGCCTGTAATGCGACCTTCGCTTCAGCGCAGCTAAACTCTGGACAAACCACGTCCGGCACCAGCCCATAATCTCAGTCGGAACTCGGACCAGACACGCTAGCGCCACAGACGCCTAGTCGACACTCGAGCCCCTCGAGCCCGACCGCGGCAGCAACACAGTGATAACTTTCGTCTGCTCTAACCATAATCATAGTACCCAAGCCACAATTGTGAGCCGTCTCGTGTCCAGAGCCTACTTGCCACTTGGCGAGGACGAGAACGACGCCCGCAGCCGCCTGGAGGCTTGGTGAGTTTCACCTCGAGGGGCTGCGGCCGCGCCAGTGTTGATTGAACTCTCGTGATGGTCATGTCGACTGTCGATGTATGCATTGGTGGTGAAGTTGCTCATTCATTCTCAGGCCATGGCAAAGCCCGGTCCAAGTACCCGTAACCAGACCGTGGTCCCGGTCCTGAATGTCCACCCAGCAGAGCTTCCTCCATCTCCAATGGTCTCTTACACTGGCGGATCTGCAGGGAGGGGGCATTTAGGGCTATGCCCCCTCAAAGGCCTAAAGTGGCCTGTTTGCCCCCCCCAACGATAATGAAACATAGTTCAATCAGTGCGTGGCCCAGGAGCCGAGTTAAACAGGGGGTGTTTTACCACCTCCCGGCCCGCAAAGGTTGCGCCAAGCATCGACCCGGAGCGGGTTAACTGGTCGACAAAAGCAATGTGAAGTGTTTATACAAAGTGATATAAAGGCATGGGTCGGGTGGGTTACCATTTCTATATTTTTTCTTTCTAATTAAAAAAAATGTTCATCGTGTCAGGGCTGTGACGAAAAATAACTGGCCTAAATCCGATGAGAAAATAGGATTTGGGGTTACGCTAGGTTTGGCTCCTACCTACATGAGTTGCCCCCCCCAAAAAAAAATGCAAATCTGGATCCGCTAGTCTTCCTCGCACGCAGCTTCCGTGGAGAAGCGATGTTCTCCGATGATTCCTGAAGCAGAGGAATGCTGCTAGCGCAGAAGAGTGTCGCAGAAGCGTGTCGGCCATGACGGCCGATATCATTGTCAGCCGTGCGAAGTCAAGGCTCGACCTCCCACTTATCCGGACAAAAAATTGGAATGGAGTGCGCTCAAGAGCAAGACAGAAACGTAGAAAACGCCGTATATCATGTGTGTTGGCATTCTTACTGCATTTTACCTCGTCAGCGACATTGATATTAGCTTTTAGCATAACCTACTGTCAGCAGGATGATTATCACTCAGGTAGCAATTTTTGGATATGTTGCGCTAGGAAAGTGTTTTAGTAAATGTTTATGCAACAAATGTATTGATTCGTTGAAAGATCGCAAGCTGAAGCGAGAACGCATTTACACGGTTTACGTGAGAATAACACCGAAGAAAGCCTATGGAGACTGCAACGCCTGAAATTGTCAGGAAAGGGTTACAATAGACGAGGTGCGCTTGTTCTTAACATTAAATGAAATTTTTTTAATCATCATTTCATGTCATAATAAGGCTAGATGCAAGTGGTTTTTGCTATAGGAAGTGAATTAATTTTTTTGACCCCACTTTCGAGACACCCTAGTACCTATGTAATTTGGCACCATACAAGCGAAATGTTTTGATTCATTGCTGAATCAAATCCATTATTATGGCTTAACTTTTCTATTTAATCAAAATATATTTGTTTTGAAACTTTTTGTCTCTCCAGACACAACACCAGAGACGAGACTCCGTGGGACGCACAGAGTCACAAGGATGGTTTTGTCTCGTGAGGCACAGATCCTCCTCTATGTGCCAAATTTGATTGGCTATATTCGGCTGGCATGCCTTCTAGCCAGCTGGTGGTGCTGGGCAGAGCAGCCCGGACAGATGGTGCTGTTCTACGCTCTACAGGCCACTCTTGATGGTGTGGACGGCTGGGCAGCGCGCCGGCTTCAACAATGCTCCACGTTTGGTGCCTGGCTGGATGTAGTGTTGGACAATGTGGGTCGAACCATGCTCTGGTCGGTGCTGTTTGACTGGGGGTGGCTCGTCGCCTGCCTCGAGTGGCTGTGCTTTGTCTGTAACAGCGGCGCCGGCGGCCAGTGGAAGGCGGCCATTATCGCCGACGGGCCGCCGCTCTGTCGCTGGGTGATGGCCGACGGCTTCAAGACGCGCTGGGGCGTGCTGGCCATCGGCGGCCTGCACGTGCTGCCCATCTGGCTGGTGGGCATGCGGCGCGGCCTGTTCGCGTCCACCGGTGGCCCACTCGGCTGGCTGCCGGCGCCGCTGGTCGTGGCGTGCCTGGCGCTGCTGGTGGTGGGCCGACTGCTCTGCGCCCTCGTGGAGCTCTGGTGCATCCTGGCGCACGTGCGTGCCATGCTGCGAGAGGACACCGCCGCCGCCGCCAAGTGAGGCGCTGACGAGATCGGCAGTGCCTGACCGTTGGCCGGAGTCACTGACCTGGGACGCTATTATTGGGTGAATAGATGTAGCTTTGTTATGCTGGGATTGTTAAATGAAATTTAAGTGCCTATCTTTAGGAGGCGTATATTATCAATGCGAATTTTGCAGATGCTTTGCTAGGTTGAACCGGCGTTATGTCAAGGGGCGAGCAGATAGTTTATATACCATTTTATTTTGAGAATAACTTACCTGCTCATAATATGCTCTTATACTGAGTAGAATATCATTAATTGTCGAACATGCATCATATGGTTGGCGGTTGCAATGATTGCATCAACACTATGCATAATTATTGCATGTCGTATTGCATCAAGGAAAAGAGGACCGTTTAGGCACCAGCGGTACTAGCAGTTGTCGTGTTCGCCGTGATTCCGCAGCAAGGGTTGACGATGACATTCATATGTTATAGAAACCTATGCATTCGAGCGTAATATTACGTTTACAATGTGTTGATCAACTTCGAGGATCTAGGTTAGGTACATAATGCATTATTTAGCTTGGTTTATTATTACAAATCTGTTGAGCTCGATCAACACATGCGAGATTGAAAAGGTTTCGGCGTGTCGGCCGCTCAATTTTATTGTGATCATGCCGTCCAATTCCGTCAGCTGTGAAAGCCTCAACCCGTATTCGACAATAATGTGCGTTTACGGTGTGTAATTGTATTCCAGGTTGTGTTATGCATTCATATTTTACAAAAGGTTTATGTAAGGATGACAGTACATTCCCATTTCCCACAGATGTGTCAACATTCTTTTGTCATCGAATTACTGGTGAACGTACAGCCCTCAGCAGACTGCGTGGTAGGTATTCTTTTTTTGGAAAAACTGATGATAATAACCCAAAGGCTACGTAATGAGTCGGTCGGAACTCACTGCAAATAGATGCGCCATGCTCTACTCCTTCGATTGGGTCCATCATTAAGCAAAGTATAGGTACGCCTTGTGTGGCAATAAAATGCAAAAGTTTGTTTTGGGGGCAAATGAACTTTTTGGTTTTGGGGGCAAACTGGATGGAAAATAAATACGATGATAATGTCAATCTAAGGTGCGGAGTCTCATGCGTCTTGCTATTACGATTTCCGAGTGACCGATAGCATAGTATTTGCGTTATTTTCGGTTTTGTCGAAAAAAAAGAATACCTACCACGCAGTTTCCAGATGGCTGTACAAAGATAGCCGATACGTTTATTATGGCCAGTGTTATAATCAGTGAATGTTGACATTGAGCTGACTACCGCATGAATATCAACCAGTATAACGCCTTTTGGGGCGACAAACGGAGCGAGCGAGAGGGTGGGCCTTGCACGTGCGAAATTGCGAGGGGGTACCTCCAACTAACTTGTGCACGGCACCCTACTAACTGGTCTCTAGCGATGTGCCAAATTTGGGCACAATCGGCCCAGCCGTTCTCGAGATCTGGAAGCGGCACCCTGCACGTGCGCACGTGCAAAATGGGTCCCAACTGACTTGTGCACGGCACGCTACTAACCGGTCCCTAACCGTGTACCAAATTTGAGCGCAATCGGTCCAGCCGTTCCCGAGATCTGGAAACGACCCCTGCACGTGCGCACGTGCAGCAGCACCCCAACTCTGGCACATGTATATGCAGTGCCTAGTGGGTGCCTACCTACATGCCAACTTTCAGCGCAATCGGCCAAGTAGTTACCGAGATTTTGCAACAATTACAAAAGTGACACCTCTTCGTTTTGCACGTGGCACGTGCATAAGGGGTCACCCACATGCATCGGGAATAGTGCAATACTTGGTAGAAGGAATGAAGCTACCCTACAAAAATTACCGCATGTAACTCGGTCAAGTGGTTGCTGAGATATAAGCCTCGCAAAAGCGTGACCACGGCCGGCCGGCCGGCCGCTCATACTCAGAAATTTCCGTTAACCCGCGCCGTGCTGGGGGGGGGCGTTTTTACGCCCCCCCCCCTCAGGTTTTTCGCGAATATCTCAAAAACGGCGGCGCGCAGCGCCGCCATTTTTGGTACACGTGTTCCTACATCATTTCCGCACATGTGAAAATTTCAGACCTAGGCCGTTCAAGGTCAGGTCACCAGGTCACGTCAAGTGACCTTACCTCAGAAAAAGTTCAAAGGCTCGCTATAGCTACACCGACTGAACGATCACTTTGAAACTTTCAGCGATTGATATGAGTAACAGTATGTATAAAATGTATATCTCGGATTTTTGATATCTGTGACCTAAGGTCAGGTCAATTTTGCGACCTCTCCATTATAAGTCAATGGGAGAAAATTGAAATGCGCCTCTTTTGGACGAATATCGTTCAAAACGCTCTCAAACATCGGTTCATAGGTAAACATGACACACTGAATAGGAAAAATGCACCTGTGACCCCTCTGTGTGCCCCTGAGGTCATCTCAGGTCATGAACGGTCGCCAGCAGTTTTTTGGCTATAACTTTTGATAGAGACGTGCTAGAGCGGTGAAAACACGTCAGATGTGTTCAGCTCGACGATACGGATCGACTGATATGCAACATGACCCTTTTCGGTCAGGTCATGACCTTGACCTGAGGTCAAATTTTCAAAATGACCTTTCAAGGTCAACAAATAGTTCATTCGACGCGTATCGACGAGAGGAACACGATGCTGGCAAAAGTAATGTCATGGCGCTTATGAGTCAAAAGTTATTGACGAAAAAACGTTTTTCGTAAAAACGGCTATTTTTGGAGTTTTTGCCCTCTGGAGGCTAAACCGTTGACCTGAGGTCAAATCTGAGAACATTACTCAGAAAGGTCTGTAAAAGGGCTATCGAATGCGCTTTTCCGCGGCGCTGTAGCTCTATCGGTTCCCGAGATAGCCGTTGGCAGTTTCCAAAATGTTGAAATAGTCAACATTTTACCTTTGGTGACCTCTGGTGACCTGACCTTTGACCTGACCCAAAAAATGACCGAAGTGTTTTCGTCCTTATTTTTGACGCTCTTTCGATTGCCGCTTACCGCGTGTCGCTACGTGGCCCAGGAGCCGAGTTAGACGGGGGGGGGCGTGAAAACGCCCCCCCCCCCCCAGCACTCGGCGGAAAGTTCAGGCCACCAGCACGGCGCGGGTTAATCTAAGGAAAGACTACGCTCGCTTCGCTCGCTCCGTAATAACCATATACCATGTCCATGGACCATGACGTCAACGCGTTTTGTATCCTCGTCTTATGAACGGGCATGCCAGCCGCTTATGAGAACTTGTCATTGTGCCTTAGCCCTTAATCTACCGGCAAGGCAATGAGTGTTACTTGGGCTCATATAGCGCTACATTGTTTCGGGGTCTTTTTTCGTTCAACTAGCTGGTCGGCGCTTACGATTGTAGTGTGCCTTGCCGCGTTGTTATCCCAGCAGCCTTGTGTCTTCTGTGACGGCTCAGAGTCGTGATGATCATGACAGTACGGCTTTCTGCGCAGTTCCGGCGCCAAGACTGACAGATGTCGCTCAAAACCGTTGCCAGTATAGCGCTCAGTATTTGTCATTCCGCCGGTGGCTATTCAGAAGAACTAAGAATATATGTGTGGATAAATTCAGTGAATCTTTGCTGTGCTATTGTTTGTGCCTGGCGCAGTTTGGCTCTGCATGTACGAGATATGTGGTGTGGAAAGTTCATGAGGGAAGTCAAACATCGATTTGTGTTGATGATAATTGACTGCGGCAGTGTTGGGCGTTGCACTTCTTAGCCCGCGCCCCGCAGGAAGGGGGGCCGAAACGGTTCCCCTGTCCTTTTCCGTCGATATCTCCTAAACGGCTGGAGATATCGCCACCAAACTTTCAGGACACCTCCGGGCATCAATTTTACACATTGTGACCTAAATTTTTCCAGAGGCTATGATAGGTTGGCCAAGTTTGGTTGGTTGGCCTGTTTGGCCTCGTTTTTTGGCCAAGTTATAGCGAAAAAAGTGTTCAAAAATGATGACGTCAAGTTTTCAAACTCAATTTTTGGCAATTATAGACCTCGTAGGGCAAAACAAAGACCACCATTAGACTCCCCGTGACGAGCTGCATCGAATCGATGCCCATTTTATGCAAAAATATCAAATTTGAAATTTGACCTAATTTGACCTGACCTTGACCTGACCTTCACCAAAACGTGACCTAGGCTGGCCCCAAAGGCTTCTCACCCACATAATCGCATTTGTCATGTAAAATGGACCATAAAACATGTATCACACGACACTTTCATATTGTGACCCCCGGTGACCTGACCTCGCTGTGACGTATCTGTTTGACGAACAATGTACCATCGATGGTTTTCAATAAATTATCAATTTACTCGATTTCACAACACATTTCTTGAAATGCCTGTAAACGGTGAAAATTTTTGAAAATCGGCTAGTAAATTTCCGAGATCTCAGGGGGGGGGGGCGACCGATAGCCCTACGGGGCGCGGGTTAACGCACTACTCGTACATTAGTTCAGTTGATCATTGCTGTACAGTAGGTCTACAAAATAAGTCCCTCCGTATCCGGGCAGGTGGCGACTGAGTAGCGCTCAGGCGCTATGCCCGTTGGTGACCCACATACGGAGAGGACTTATTTAATAGTTTGTAGACCTACTGTACGTTGTATGTAGATTAAATGGACCTCCGTTCCACTCTACAGACGGGAGTGTCTCGTCTGGACGGGCCACCTAGCCCAGTCCCCAGGGTAGTATACTAGCCGGTCGCTTTTACGGTTACTGGAGGGGCCTACCCAGGCTTACCCATGCACCTTTTGGATGAGTGAAACCGAAACACAACAGTGTGGTCTGATAAAGGATGGGAAATGATTATTCCTGTTGAGAACTGATATCGCGTTGGGTCTGAATACATGGTTCGTCGGAAAAGTCATTTCATCCACAAAAGAAACGAAATATACCATTCGAAAGCTGACGGTGAGCTGATTCCAAAAAATGTTTTTTTTTTTTTTTTACCAAAATCGTTCGATGGCCTTTTTCAAAAATTGCGTTTTTGTAAAAACGTGATAATTTTTTATTCAACGAGCGGTCCAGGACACCCAGGACAGGACAATCATAGGCATGTTTTTTCGTTTTCGTGAAAGCTGAATGCCAAAAGAACAATACCTATGTAGCGGAAAAAATATTATCAACTATTGATATGCGTCTCTCACAGCCGGCAACAAGGCGCAATCACACAAGTCAGTGTCATGATGGATCAAAGTAAGCCACACAAAAGCGTGAAATGACCCTTATCGACGCGAAGACCCGGCGCTAGGCCCGTCTGACCGGCCATGGAAGACGGCCTCTGACAGTGAAACCCCGCTAACTTTCCCTGTGTGGGCATTGAGCGCAGCGGGACGGAGCATAACCTGCATAAGAAAATGTAAATTCACCCTATTACCTACTGGTGGGGGTGGGGGGGGGGGGGCGAATCGGCCCCCACCTGTAGTTTTTTGCTCTCGACGGAAAACCACTCTAGCTTTGGGGCTTGAAATTTGGTGACTTTTCCTTACCATTCATTGGGCACGTTGTGTCAAATTTTTGAGTTTCTAGCTTGCGCAGAGGCGTCTCCAAGACGAGTTTCTCGGGGGTAGTTTTGGCCCAGCCTTTATTGTTCCGACCATTTGCCGCTAGGGAACGACTTACTTAGGTTTGTAATGGTGATCAAGGGCATCCCTCGTCATATGTATGCACCTAAAGACTATGTGACGTCATTCGATACAATGAAAATATTGGAATAGGCGGACCCAGGTACCTGAGATTTGAGAAAGGGGGATTATCTCAATGTACTGCCCCCCGTCTTAGCATGCCTGAATCCGCCTATGCTTAAAACGTGTATTTTGTGCTCACGTTGCATATTTTACATGATATAGGTATGACATATCATGTCATAAGACACATGACATCAGACATGCCATAACAAAAACTCAAAACATCATCCCAATTCCGAAGTTAGGTTA